AATGACATGAAATATTATGTTTACTCTATTTGTTTAATCTCTACCAAATGAACAATCCTGATTCAATGCAATTACACAAGATCCCGCAAGAACATGACATTGTCGATATGGGCATCTAAGTTATGTTGGACTAAAGTCACTTCAAGAGTATGGTTGAAAAAGAAACTGGTATATACATGAAGGGCTGATAACTTATCAAGGTGGTGAATTCACATCCAAAGAAGTCATTAGCTTTGGTAATGAAAATGGTATTCAAAGGCAACCAAGAGCGGCTTATACTCCTCAAAGGCAACCAAGGCAACCAATATGGTTAGATGCATGCTGACAGAGAAAAAGATACAAAAAGCTTTCTAGGCGGAAGCAGCAAATTGGACGATTCATATTCTCAATAGAAGTCTCACTCTAACCATGAAGCATATGACTCCGAAAGAAGCTTGGAGAGAACATAAACCATCAGTTTACATTTTAGAATTTTTGGATGTACTGTGTATGTTCATGTCCCAGACAACAAAAGAACAAAGCTTGAGGATAAAAGTTTGAAGTGTGTATTACTCGGAGTTAGTGAAGAGTCACAGGCGTACAAACTTTATGATCCGGTCTTACAGAAACTAGTAGAGATGTAAAGTTTGAGGAAAAGAATGGTTGAGATTGGCATAAAACCCATCAAGAAAAAGTTGCAGTTGATCTTGAATTAAGTAATGATACCTGCAATGAAGTTGAAAGCTCGGAGGATGAGGGAGCCACGTCGGGCGGTAGTGTCGGGTCGAAGCGCGGGTCGCAGTCCGGTTCGGGTCGTGGTTCGGGTCGCGGGCTGTGGAAGGCTACAGGGCCAAGGCTAAACGTTGGGCCTCGGCTTTCTGGGCTGGGCCGCAAGTGTTTGGTTTGCAGGCCGGCTCAATTGGACCGTGGGTCTAGTTTGGGTTGGTTCAACTGAACCGTAGCTTCTAGGCCGGTTTGAGGTTTGGGCCACTGTAGTTGGGCTGGGCCGAAGGCAGAGGCCAAGGGAGGAACGGGCTAGCTCTCCCAGGTTCTGGGTTCGGGTTGACCCGGATCCGTGGATCTCGTCTTCCTTACCCGACATTGGCCGATTTTTCGGCGAGCTTTCTCTCTCCTTCCCGCGGCGTTTCCGTTGCCGATTTCGGTCCTCTTCCTTCCCTTGTCCTCTTTGTTCGTCGTCCTTCTTTCCTTTTTTGGGAGTTTTGCGGCCTAAAAGCTCCTAAAAGCCATAGATCTAAGAATCAATTAAGAAACCTAACTTTCCGACCTCGGTTATCGACGACGACACTTACGAAATAACACAAAACGCACCCTGAGTTATTGTGCTTTCCTTAGGGATCTCTCTTACGGTAGTAACAGGTCGTTTGGTGTCGGTTTAAGGGTGGTTTGAGGGCTCGTTGGAGAAACTGGACACTCGCCGACGTTTGTCAGAAATCTCTCTCTCTCTCTCGAAATTTTCTCTCTTTTCTCCCTTTGCAAGTGTTCTGAAGATGCTGGGCTAAGGGTGGGCGTGCTGTGACCGTCGTTTCGCGTGAGTTTCGCGAAACTCGGCGGTCGCCGGAAAACTCGCGGGTTTTCCGGCGACTGGGTTTTTTTTTTTTTTCGTTTTCTCGTTTTCATTTATCATATATATATATATA